CCCCTTCTGCAGTGGGTTGCCATGGGCTACTGTGTGTAGCCAGCAGCCAGCGTGAGTGGCCAGCAGCCAGCGTGAGTGGCCAGCAGCCAGCGTGAGCGGCCAGCAGCCGCAGTGAGCGGCCGTCCAGAAGCCGGCGACTGATCTGCCTCACCCAGGTAGAGCGCAATGATGGTGCCAACTTGGGCCAGTGAAGCAACGTCCTCCACAACTAGACTGAAGAACAAAAGGACAGGACAGCAGCTTGTCTGTTCCCCTTTCCCCCAATTCCCCAATAAAAATCTTTAAAAAAAAAACAAAAAAAAACATGAAGAGAAAGTAATTGAGCAAATAAGTTTGAAGGATGGACGGTTGTGGTTTTAGAATGTAGTCTTATCTTTGCCTAGGTTCTCTAGAAAACAGAGCCTGAGGTGACTCTCATATGCTGATTCTTAATTAGGGATATTATCCACGTAAGCAGGAGTGAGGGGGAAAAGAGACATGAGGAAGAGAAAGAGAAAAAGAAGATTTAAGGTGCATTACCAATCTGTCCATAGCTTCTCTAGAAAATTAAGTCATGCTAGAGCAGAGGACTTACAGAAACACTGCATCTTTGAACAGCTCTGGGGCAGGCAGGAAAGCTGAACAATTGTCTGCTGACTTCTTCCTGGCTCTTGTTTCTTAATGGTCCAAGTCGGCTCCACAGAGCATTAATTCCATTGTATTTATGGGGTAAGTTTTGGGCCTTTCCAAGAAGCTGCTAGGGAAGCCAGAACTTCTGTGGGTCCAGTCAAGTCAGACCTGGGAGCTGAAACTACTGCAGTGGGTGTTACAGAGGCCATGCTGGTTTGGTCCTCACACCAGCAGAGGCTGAGCTTAGTGACAGCATTAGCCTGAACTTTACAACCATAAGGCTCTGCTGTGACCATTGTGTCTGAGAAGCAGGTGGGGCTGAACTGATCTGGGGTGCACACATGCTATCTGAATTAGTGATTTTAGAGGAGCTTCCCGGTGTAACTGTGGAAGTTCCTGGCTGTAGCTCAGTGGAGTCGAAGGGTATTAGATATGGAGTCTAAGGAGCCGAGAGGTCAAAGTATTGGATAAATGGTCAACAACAATTTTGAAATAGCAGAAGATTCCAAACCCTGTGAGTCTAGTGCATAGTGAGTATACACGGGCTATATTATTTAATGAGAACCCATAATTAGAAAAAAACCTCTTTTTAGGAAAGTCAGTGCACTATGGACTGAAACTCAGTATATGCAGATAAAAACAGAAAATTAAATGTATTTATATATTGGTCCTTATAGTAGAATTTACTATTACCTGATTAATTAGGCAGATTATTAATTTCTGAGTTATGTCATTATTCCAAACAATTGTGTTTATTCCAGAAAAAAAAATGAAGAACATATTTCAAGTTCTTTCTATAGAATTTCAGAACCATAAGTACAATTCTTCTGGGTAATAAATCATGGCTCTCTGTAGCCCTTGGATTTGGACCTGCAGTAGGTGCTATGAGAGATACAGCAAAGATAAATCCGTGAACCATGCCCTCTAGGTATTTATAGTCAGGCAGGGATGATAAGAAATGTAGATAGATAACAACAACACAAAGTAGAAAGTGATAAATGCCGTAAGAAGGGCTGAGACAAAATGCAGTTTTATGGGAATTCTGAAGGAAAGGTGTACACCTAGAAGTAATGACTGAAGCTAGGAGGAGAGAGAGAGAGAGAGAGAAGGAAGGAGGGAAGTAAAGGAGGGAGGACAGTCAAGGAAAACATGGACAAGAGACTGGTCAATTCAAAATGCCGGACACTTGTAGGTTCTGGCTGTTACCTGGCAGGGCTGTGAAAACCTCCCCAATGTGCTGTGCATCAGTGCCCATAGGGCTCATCCTCCTCCCCACCAGGAATCAGCAGGGAGGGATTTGCAGATGAGAGGCCCTTGTCTTCTTGGAGAAACAGGCAGAATGAAGAATGGCGCTCCCAGGCGTAGGCGTGGTGTGATGTTAGTGGTGAGCGCCCACAGAGGAAGTAGAGACACTGAGGATAGGGCTCTCTTTCAAGTCTCTAGGTTCTTGGTAAACAGGTTTTGTTTTGTTTAGTTTTTTAAAGAAAACAGAGACAGTAGATTGAAGAGTGAAAAATTTGGTTTTGTTCTTTTTTTTTTTTTAAAGACTTGAGCTATGAATGTTCTGAAGATATAAAAGCTAATACAACACATTCCCTGCTCTGAAGCCCATTAAGGGAGATAGACAAGTTAACAAGTTTTTGTGAGTTGGAGCAGCAAGATGCTGTGGAATCACAGAGGCGAGCCACTATCCTGCAGAATCAGTGAGACTTTATGAAAGAAATAAATGGCTTTGATGTGAATAAAGGGATTGATGGCTGTTAGGAAGGTGTGGTGGAATCAACTGGCCCAGTTTCATAACCATATCAAGTAACGCGGCACTGGGGAGCAGGAACACCAAAGGCAAATGGTGGTATTTATCCTGGGTTAGGGCTACAGCAACACTAATGTATGTGAAAGGAAGGCACAGTGACCTAAGGTTCTAGCCTTAGCAGTTGAAATGGCTGCCCTTGGGGTCCGTGTGGTAAGAAAAGCAAGTCAGAAGACAAATGAAAGATGAAAGCAGGGAAGGGAGCAAAATCAGAGAGATGGTGAGAAAGTGGAGTGGAACCTACCAGGAGGGTGGTTTTATCCTTCTCATGTCCTCAGGAAATCTCCCTATGACATATGGAAAAGAGTTGGGCTTGTGCGTTGGGGTGCTCTGAGCTGGGGTTCAAACACGAGCATAAAGGCTAGGCTGAAATGTGGACTGACAGAAGTCTGTGTCTCAGGGCCACTGTAGAGCGTTCTGTCAGAGACTTTATCCCAAGAAAACAGAGTTCAGGCTGGAGGGCTTGAACCAGAACTTAGTGATCCAGAGGCTTGGGAGTCTGAGTACAACATGGAGGCACTACTGTAACCTGTTCCCAGCTCAGTTCCTTGGATGCAGGTCCACGCAAGAAAGAGAAGGCAGAAAAAACTGTGCAGTATCTATAAAACAGAGGCTGCTTGGGGACTTCTCTGTGTGGCACACAAAGATGGGCATTTCACTTCCACTTTTCTACAGGCTATCTCTGAGCCTGGACATCATGAGGACCCTAGTGCTCTGGTGACAATGCTTGGCAGAGACCATGGTGCCTGGTGGAGCACAGGCACACGCAGGGGGAATTTGTGCATGAACACACGTCCTGCACTTCCAGTGGGAAGCCTGGAGGAGGGCTGTGTTCCTCAGTCAGTGGCCAGGAAAGGCCAGTGGATTTCGGCTTCCCACTATCTCCATAGAGGCAGAAAAGGTCGAGATTATAGGCTCTGCAATTTATAAGTCTGTGAACTTGATCAAGTTATTTAACTCTTTGAGCTTGCTTCCTGAGGTGCCATTTACTGACTCAGGTCGACAGAGTAGATGAGAAACTGCATGTATGCCTTTAACACATGGCACAGTCAGACCACACACACGTAACGCCTTCTGCCAGAAGCTGCTTCCTCCTTGCTCCTTATTCTTACTCATTTTAAATTTAAATGTCATTTTTTCAGAGGAGTCATCCCTGGGTCTCCACGGCAGACTGGATTGCCTACCCATCATCCATTGTTATCTTCCCCTTTTGTTCAGTGTCGTCTCCTCAACCCTGAAGAGTTCAGGAACAAATGCTGAGGAATTTAAGCCAGTTGCAATAATCCCTGTTTCATTCTGAGCATTTAGGTGTGGGTATGTGATTCAGTTTGGACTAATGACAGGTGAGGGGGCATCTACTGGAGGCTTCTGAGAAAGATTCCTCACCCTTGAGAAGGGACACACTCTTGCTACCACTGGGCATTGTCAGGATTGTCTGTGACAATGGGGACTGCTCCAGCCATCCCAGGACCACAGGTGGAGGAATCCCAGGTACAAAGCTGGAGGGCTGGAGATGGCAGGGGGAATAACGGGAACAGCCCAAGGCCTTCCCTGACATCACCGAGTTGCTGAATTCATCTGTTAGAACCTTTCGACCTTGAAACTTCTAGCCGTATGACACAATAAATTTCCTTATCGTTTCAGACATTTTAAATTGAGTTAATTATTAATTTCAGCTCCCACATCTAAATTATAACCCCATGTTTTTCGCTCTCATATTTTTCTTTATAGCATTTACCATGTATACAGTTACCTTTGTGTTTGTTTGCTGTCTGTTTCCCCCAATGAATTGTAGATTCTAAATTACTAAGATCACATGTTCATTTTGTTCACCATCGAATTCCCAGTGTTTAGCACCAAACCTGAGGCATAGGATCTGTTCAAGCACATTTGTTAAAAGAATGAATAAAGCGCTCAAAAATGGTCATTTTTCTCCTCCTTCTTCTCAACTTCTTCTTTGTTCTCTACAATTTAGCATACTATTATTGACAGAGCACGGATCATCAGGAAGGAAACTATGCTTCCCTCGAACTTTGACTAGTTGGGGGGCTCTGGGCAGCAGCCCTCACTACATCCATGGCTTTTGAGCTCTTACCTGGAGGAATCATAAGCAAATACAATCACATGGTTGACCCAGGACACACGTATCTAACTGAAATGAGAGATTTATAGAGCATACTTTTACTGTGTGTGATGTACTCTGATATTTTTATTCTATTTCATTAAAAAAATGCAAGCTTTCACACAATACATCAATTTTTGGACCCATTACTTAGCAATCCACAGTTCAAAACACAAACAAAAAACTGGACTAAATGAAATGTATGGACTTTGAAAATCTTTGTTTTTCTTTTCTTTGCTGTTAAACTTTATATATACAGCCAGTCCATTGACTTAAAAGTCCATTATTAGTGACTTACCAATGACTTCATTATTTTCCCTTTTCCAGTGGAATTCTTCCCCCTCCCCATTTCCCCTGGTTGTACTATTTTGAAGGCCTGCATAAAATGGCATATGTTCATGAAAAAGTACTTTGTACTTTTTCTTATCCCCCCCCCCCATTACCACGACAACAAACAGGACTGTATTCTTCCTCCTCTGAAATTTAATGGCCCCCATTCGACATAGTATTTACATGGGCCTCATTTCTACGTGTTTATGTATGTACTAATGCAGACCAGTGTTACATGAGCTGCCACCACGTGGCTTAAAACCCAAGAGAGCTGGGCTCCAACATTCTCTAGAAGCACAGTGAAGAATAGACCTTCACTGTACCTGCCATTCCTCAACACTAAACTGCCCTTGTCCTCGCGGATTTGCCAGTGAAATTCCTCCGGGGGCAGGAGGGAAGGGGGGGAAAGCCACACGAAGATCTTACAACTCCGGGGCACAGCAAATAATGCGGTGGGGTATACATATATTTAGAAAACCATAGTGCAAACCTCAGGGAAAAAAACATGTAATCAAAAGGCGACGGGGAGAACTTGGGTGATCAAGAAAGTTCCCGGCCAAAAGACCTTCAGATTCCGAAGGAAGGTGCAATCTTTGTCCCTCGAAACTCAGTTCAAACCACTCCCCCAGCATCACGTGAACTGTCGGTGAACTGGATGCAAGTTACAGCTTCAGAGGCTGGGATGAGCGCCTCGCCAAGCTGCTCCGGGGTCACATGTCTTCCAGAAGGGCACTGGTGTGACAGAGGAGAGCACGTCCAGGATACGTGCTCCTGTTTGCGCTCCGGGAAGGAAAGAGAGGTGGGAGAGAGCCTGCAGTGAAAACAGGCTGGAGGGGTGGGGGCAAGGGAGGGAGCGGAAGAGAGGAACGCCTCCCTGAACTTTCCTCTCCCCTCATCCCACACACTTGAAATAGAAATAATAACAACATGAAAAAAAATGCTTACAACCACGATGTTATCTCCCTACTTAAGTCGCCTCACTCTGGAAGGTGTAGGGTGTAAAGTGCAGACTGCGGTTGTCGCCGCCGGCTGGTCTCGGAAGTAAAGGTTCGGGGCTGGGGCGGGTGCGCGCGCGGGTGACCCCACTTTTAGGGAGGACAGCTCCCCGCTCTTCCACACCATTGACCCGGCTGACCCCCGCCCCCCTCCTTTTCCTCCTCTCCTCCCTCCTTCCCTCCCTCCCTCCTTGCGCGTCTCCTCTGCACCGGCCCCCGCGGTGGAGCCGGGCGGCAGCACCGACGCCGCCGCAGCTCCTGCCCGCAACGCGCTCGCCCGCGGCCCCGGCTCCCACAGAGCCCGAGCTGCAGCGCCCGCAGCTCCGGGTCCGCGCGGCGCGTCCTGCTTACGACCCAGGCGGGCTGAGCCGGCCCGAGCTCGGCTCCAGCGCCGCAGGCGGCTGGGGAGGGCGGCGTGGGAGAGTACGCGGAGACGCAGGGGCAGCTGCGCCGGGGTGACAAGCTGCGCACCTGGAAAGTTACCCGGCTGTATGGTGAGATTCGTGGGCGGGGGGCTTGGGCGCAGGGGGTGCGCCGGCAGGGACGAGGTCGGGGTGCGCGCGTTGCGCGTTGTGCGCCTCTGTTGCACATCCAGCCGGACTCGTGCCTGTGCTTTTTGCCGTGGACTTGTGCCCACACTGCGTTCGCTCGGTGTGACAGCCTTTCGCGAGCTCCGGAGGCAGGGAAAGGCTACTTGATTTTCAGCAGCTTGGCTAGCGGCGGCAGTGGCGGCGGGGGATCGGGTGGAGAGCTCAGCCCCAGTGGGGATTCCTCAGGGTTCTCACGCCTTTAGCCTGGAGCAGCCCTGGCTGGGGGCTTGGCGCTGTTGTCAGGGCGTGCGCTCCTGGCTCCGCTTCGCCAGGCTCTGGGTAGCTGCTAGGAGACAAATACTCGGGCAAGGACTTTAGGAGTCCTTGTAAACTTGTGTAGGTGTACTGAGGCACTCTCAGCACCATAAGGCACGTTCACATGTTTTGCTCTGTATTTCCTGGGGATGAAGAAACAAGAGCAAACAAAAGCAATACACCAGCCACTGGGGATGAGAGAAAAATCAATGGGTTCCAGTTTGAGAACTAGAGTGCAAATCCAAAGCGGTTGAGGCCAGGGTTTAGAACAGAAAGAAACAACGCAGGCAGAATTAACAGGTAGAAAGGTCTGACAAACGCCCTGGTTTCCTTATCTTCACCTTGTTCCCAAAGTTCCCAGGTACTTTGTTTGTTTGTTTGTTTTCCATAAAGGAAGAGGGTAACCATATGCCTGCCCCGCCCCAGTTCATTAGAAATCAGTCTCTTTGCAAGCTTCTATTTAATGCCTAGACAAGGTTATCATCCCATATATGTACGATATCTGTTGGCAGTACTCCTGTTTACTTTTACGCAGGAGGAGCTAATATGGTGGAGAATTCTCTTTGGAGAATTGAAGGCCATGCTCTCCATTGGAGCATCGTGCACCTAAGAATAAAGGACATAAAAAGATGATGCACAGAGACTTTTCTCTTTTATATGAAATACTGCACTCCTCTGAAATTCTTACAAGTGACTTAGCTAATTCATCTCACAATGAAGGTATATATAGCCTGGATGTTGGCTAAGTCTTTTGATCCCATATTGTCTTGCTTCCTCTAGGCTATTTTCCTATCAATTGGCCCTCTTTTCCTATGTATTTATTCTCTCTATCTTCACTGGTCCATTATTCTGGGCTTACAAATAACTGTCAAGTTCCCACTTATTCTAAAAATCCAATTCATGAACCATGATGCCCTCTTGAGCTCCCCATTCCCAGCATCTGCTCTTTCTATGGTCCTTTGCAACTGAGTTTCTATCCTAACTTTTGGGTAAAAGGCTAAATTCAGTATGTTCCCCTCTGATCTCATTTGCTTTGATATGTCAGTGGGATGTGAGCTGCAACCTGCTTGACTCTTGAAAAATCTTACCTTCGTGGCTTCTGTGGTGCTTCTCCTAGATCTCTTATTTGTACACTTCTTTCGCCATTTTTGTTATTTGCTTCTCCTCCTATGCACCTATAAATAGTATCCACAGGTATTTATTATCTAAATGTACATACACGACAATAGAGGCATTCCTTTCTTTTGTCCCTTAGTGATCTCATCTCCTAGTGGGACTTCAGTTCTTACCTCTGTGAAGTGGTCCCTTGCCTTGACCTTTCTTCTTTGCTACTATCTGCCCGACATTTCCACCTGGATAACCCACAGGCACCTCAGACTCAACATACTGACACACTACCATTTCCATAAAGCGTGCCCATTCCCGTGACTTTGGTCAGTGCCACAGTACCTATGGGATCATAGCACTACCTTCTTCCAAGCCTTCCTAGATCAAAACATTGGAATCATTTTGGACTCTCCTCTTGTTCACACCCATTTTATTACCACATTTAGAGATTCTGCCCTGCAGTAGCCCTCCCACCGTTCTTGTCTTTTACTATTAATCCCTCCACATCCGCTCTCACTTTTACCGATGCAATAGCTTCTTCTTACCCTGTCTCTATTTTTTCTCTCAAACTTCATATGGACCTGGATACACCTCCTCTCCTAGTTGCCAGCCTCCTGGGCGCTTGCATCTACTTCTTCAGCCTCTACTTCTGTATCAGTGATCGCTAAATAGTTTCAGTTCCTCTCTTCTGATTTTCTAGTCCCTTGTTTCTTATTGCTTGCTAAACTCCTTGACTCTGAAGTTTTCCTGGGTCCCTCAAGGTGAGCGTGTCCAAAATTAAACTCACTGTCTTATCCCTCAAATCTGCTCCTCATTTTGGCTAATGACATCAGCTCTCACCCAGGTGCCACCATGGAAACTTCTAAATCTTTATTTCTCCTGATCACCACTCAAATTCTATAAGCTGCAATCTCCTGACCTACATCTATAAAATCACATTTCTGTGTTTTTGACTGTTTACCTGATAGGTATCAACCAAAAATAGTTGGATGGAATACTGCCATATCTGGCAGTGAACATATAAGCTATGTGGCACATATAAAATTTCCTGTGAATGTTCTGCTGTGGGGAGGGGCCCTTCAGAGAGATAGTCAACCCCTCAGTCGCTGACACTGGTACCATGAGAGGCTTGTATGACTGCCTGACAAGAGAAAATGACTCTCTAAAGTAAGATGATGTGAACTGAGAAAACAAGCAGTAGATTCAAAGCTGAGCCTCAGGTCAACAGTCACAAGATCAGATGGACAGATGCTTTTCATTGTGGCATTGATATGGAATTGCCCTGTTTCTCACAAGGACTTCTCTGGGCGGTTTGCCTCTGGGAGGAGGAGCAGTGATATATATATTCAGTAATGGTTAATTGTTTTCTAAAACCACTTTAGTGAAACAAAGTTAAGGATAACGCCAAATGTATCTGTTTCATGTCTACATAGAAGACTATAGAAGCATGTATAATGCACTCCTTTGGTTTTAGGCTAAACTGCCCATATCGTGAAAAGAATCTATTCTACTTTTCATGATTTATTGAAGGGAAAGAAATTGCAGTTACCTATAGCCACAACTTTAACCTAATCCCCTATGATAATGTTTTTCTCTTCTGGCTACCATGGAGATGATTCATTTTTTTCTTGAGTTCAAGAAGTTCAAAACATTAGAATAGGGTTGGGACTCTGGCGTTACTCCTATTCTCATTACCTCTTACTTGGATTGGTGCAATAGCCCCTTACTTAGTTTTTCTTCCTCTAAACTCTTTTCACTCCACTCCATATTTATTACCAAGAAAATTATTTTTCTAAAGGACAAATATGACCATATAACTTGAAAGAAACTTGACCTACACTAAAATCCAGATACCGTAACATGGCATGTGAAGTCTTTCAGTACCTTACACCAGTATCTTACTTTTTCAGCCTCATTTCTCATCATTCTCCTCCACCCATCATGCATTTCAGCCTGTTCCCTGAATATGCTATCAGCTTTCTTGCATTCGTTCCTTAGTATATATATATATATATATATATATATATATATATATATATATATATATATATATATATATATATATATATATTTAATTAATAGACTTTATTTTTTAGAGCAGTTTTAAGTTTACAGAAAAATTAGGTGAAAAGTACAGAGAGTTTCCATATACTCCCGTTACCTCACCGCTTTCCCTTATTCTTAACATCTTGCATCAGTGTGGTACATTTGTTACAATGGAACCAATACTGATACATTATTATTAACTAAAGTACATGGTTTACAATAGGGTTCATTTTTTGTGTTGTATATTCCATGGGTTTAGACAAATGTATAAAGACATGTATCCATCATTGTAGTGTTACACAGAGTAGTTTCACTGCCCAAAAATTGCCCTGTGCTCCACCTAATTGTTCTTTCCTCCCTCTCTGCAAGTCCCTCACAACCACTGTCCCCAAGTTTTGTTATCTCCAGCATGTCATATAGATGGAATCATACAGAATGTAGGTTTTTTGGATTGGCTTCTTTCACTTAGTAGTATGTATTTAAAGTTCCTCCATGTCTTTTCATGGCTTGATCATTATTAGTTTTCATCACTGAATAATATTTCATTGTCTGGATACACCACAGTTTGTTTATCCATCCATCCATTTGAAGGACATTTTGGTTGCTTCCAAGGTTTGGCACTTATGAATAAAGCTGCTATAAACATCCATGTGCAGGTTTTGGTATGGACATGTGGTTTCATAGCACTTGGATAGATCCCAAGGAGCATGATTGCTGGATCATATGATTATTTAGCTTTGTAAGAAACTGACAAACTGTCTTCCAAAGTGGCTGTATCATTTCACATTTCCACTAACAATGAATGA